GTACTCGACATTCTTTTGTGTGCGTTGATGTTACTTTCTTTGAGTCTACTCCGTTTTTCTCAGGGTCAAGTGATGTTCCTTCCTCTTCTTCCTCACCTCCTCCTCTTCCAGTTCTCATTGAAGACCCCATTCCACTTGTTCCAGTTGTGACCAAGTCTTTGCATCCGATGCAACTTCTTGTTGAATGGCCACCAATTCGTCAGGTATATACACATCGACAACATGTACCAGCTCCTCCTCCAGCTTCGTCACCATCGACAGATCCGACAGTTGTTCCCACACCAACCACACCCCCAGTTTTTTACCTTGATCTTCCTATTGCCTTACGGAAAGGTAAATGCAGTTGCACACTTCATCCCATTTCTAATTATGTTTCTGTCACACATCTTTTTGCTTCCCATTGCTAGTTTATTTCTTTGTTGTCTTCTATTTTTGTTCCTACGAATGTCTAGGAAGCCCTTGCCTCTCTAGGGTGGCGCCATGCAATGGAAGAAGAACTCTCTGCTTTAACTCATAATCATACGTGGGATCTCACCACACTTCCTCCCAGTAAGCAGGTTGTCAGTTGTAAGTGGGTATACACTGTTAAGTATTTACTTGATGGTAGTGTAGAGTGGTTGAAAGCTAGACTGGTAGCCAAAAAGGTATTCCCAAACATATGGTATTGACTACATGGTCTCCTGTTGCTAAAATTGGTTCAAACCGGATTGTGATATCTCTAACTGCTATCTATGATTGGCCTCTCTTTCAGCTTGACATCAACAATGCCTTTTTACATGGTGATTTCCTTAAGGAAGTATATATAGAGCAACCAACGGGATTTGTTGCTAAAGGGGAGGATGGTAAGGTGTGCAGACTAAAAAAGGCCATTTATGGACTTAAACAGTCTCCCCGTGCGTGGTTTGGTAGATTCAGTGAAGTGATAAAGAAGTTTGGTATAAAACAGGGTCAGGTTGATCACTCAGTATTCAATCATGATTCATATGCTGGGAAGATCTTACTAGTGGTATATGTAGATGATATTGTCATTATCGGCAGTGATAGATTGGGAATTGTTAGGTTGAAGACCTACCTACAGGAGCACTTTCAAACAAAGGACCTTGGTAAATTAAAATACTTCTTGGAGATAGAAGTAGCAAGGTCTAAGCATGGTATTAATTTGTGTCAAAGGAAGTATGTTCTTGATTTGTTGGAAGAAACAGGATTGTTAGGTGCCAAACCAACTAAAACACCTATGGAATCAAATACCAAGTTGAGCAGTGATGTGGGCGAAGAATTTGAAAATCCTGGAAGGTACAGGCGTTTGGTGGGTAAGCTAAATTATTACTCAACCAGATATCTCATTTGTAGTTAGTGTGGTGAGTCAGTTTATGTAAAAACATCAAGTTCCACAAGGTATTTGAAGGGATCTCCTGGCCGTGGCTTGATATATAAGAGTGGAGGAAATCTTGAAATAGAGGGATACGCTGATGTTAATTGGGCTGGTTTTGTATCTGACAGAAGATCCGCTACAGGTTATGGCAAGAAGCAGTGCAAAAGTTAAATATAGAGCCATGGCACATACCACTTGTGAATTAGTGTGGCTGAGAAACCTTCTACAGGAGATGGGATATTCGATTGACACTCCAATGAAGCGTTATTGTGACAACCAAGCTATAGTCCACATCTCTTCTAATCTAGTGTTTCATGAGAGAACAAAGCATATAGAAGTTGACTGCCACTTTGTGAGAGAGAAGGTGCTTAGTGGAGTGATAGATATTGCATATGTTAACACAAGGAGTCAATGGGCAGACTTGTTCACCAAAGGATTGAATCGAGGAAGAGTGGACTACATATGTAACAAGCTAGGACTATATGATATATACTCACCGGCTTTAGGGGGAGTGTTAGTGTCGACTGTATAGGGGTAATTTAGTCTTTCTATTTATGTTTAAAGCTGATGTGTAATGTTTGTGTCAAGTGATGTGTCCCATACTTAAGTAAGGACATAATAGTCTTTTGTTTATTCAATAGAAACATATAAATATAACCTGGCCGACTAGAGAGAAAGATTAAGCTCTCTAGTTCGAACCAGATTTCTCTTCTCTCTTCTTCTCTTCTTCATCTCTTCTTCTTCTTCTATTCTCTCTAGTATCACTTCTAATACCTCTCTAATACTAATACTAACAGAATTCTAGTGCATATCAGAATTTAATCAGTTGGCAATTAGGATTTGATCAATTATTTGTCGTCCTTGGATGAATGCCCCTTGGGCCTGACTAATAATGGAGGGAAGGATTTCTTTAATCCTCAATGACAGCACCTTTGCCAAGATTTTATAGTAGTCACCAAACTAATTGGCCTGAAATCTTTAGGATGGATGGCATCAGATTTCTTTGGAATTAGAGCCAAGGAAGTAACATTAATGCCTCGGCTGACTATATGCTTATCTACAAACACATTTAAAACCTCACAAAGATCATTTTTTATCACATCCCAACAATCTTGGTAAAAGATTGTAAAACCATCTGGGCCTAGTGCTTTGGATATATTAAGAACATCGCCTTCCTAATCTCTTCTTCCTCAAAGATTCTTTTCAGCCACCTAACTTGACCTTCATCCAAACTTGACCAATCTATCCCTTCCAATTCCAATCTCTCATCCAAGGGTCTTCTATAAATCGATTTAAAGTGATCCACAAGCGTCCTAGCAATATCATCCTGATTAGTGAAAACCTCCCCCCCCCCTACCTCTAGCTTAGACACAAAGTTCTTTCTCTTCCTCCCATTTGCCACATCATGAAAAAATTGGTATTTCCATCTCCTTCCTTGATCCACCTATGCCTCGATTTCTGCATCCAACTTATTTCATCTCTTAATAAGACCTCTTCTAAATCATTCTTCAAATTTTTCCTCGTGTCTCTATCACCCTCCTCCAATCTAGCTTGAGCTTCTCTTTCATCCAACTCTAGTCATGTGTTGTGAGCATGTGACTGGACCCCCCCAACTCTAGTCATGTGCTGTTTTAAGTGAGCATGTGACTTAACCTTATCCTTATTAGCTTAAAGTTGGGCCTAAGAGAATTAAGAGTTCCTCTCACCCTTGGCCCAGGAGAAATAACAGGGTCCATGGGTTCAATGCTCTTAACCAACCCCACAATACTACTTAGACCACCAACTCGACCCACCTCGACTCTCGATTCAACCACCTTGTTTCTTACTTCAAATTGCTTTTTAACACTTGTCTCCTCTTTACTCCCCTCTTCAACATTAAAGTTTGCCATGGCAGTGTTCCCAACCACCTGTGCAAAGGTTTTGCTACGTGTCAAAGGGGTTTCTTGTGTTTTAAGCCTCTTACTTTCCATATGCCCCATCTTTTTGGCTCCCTAGAAGCTATTGGACCATTTTAGTATAACTTCCAATCTTTTTTGAACCCTCCAATCTGCTTCTTCCACGTACAACTTCTTCCTCAAACTCCTCACCTCCCTCCATTCTAGCTTCCTTCCACAAGCCTACTTCAATGGAGGAAACCAACCAGACTAAAACGAAAACACCCTCCTCTCTTATTTCCGCCTTCCTTGGTATATCTTCAGGCCTCACTCCACTCAGGAGAATAGCCACAGAATGGAGGTCTCCCCAGTAAGCACCATCCAGTCTCCCTCCACATATCAGTGCAATGGCATCTACTACTTCTTACCTCCAAAGATGGAAAGGCAATTCGATTATCCGTACCAGAACCCCATCTTCAATAGAAAAGTTTTTGGCATTAGAGAGAGGATTCCATCTAAAGATTGCAATAGTTCCTAGATCAGTCTAAAAATTAACTACTGAGTAGTCTACTCTGTTCTCCCCAAAATCAACTAGAGCTTTACACTTATCAAAGGGAGTTACAATAAACTCACTCTCCAGTAGGGATGGCAATTTTCCCCATCCCCGATGAGGACCCGACTTCCCTGACCTGATGGGGTCGGGGATGGCGATTGTTTTGGCAAGGCGGGGATAGAGACGAGGATTAGGATTGCGGTTCCCACCCCGCCCCGACCCCAATTATATATATATATATATAATGTTATTTATATTAAATGTATATTATTTATATCATATATATATCAAAACATATTTAAAACATTATTTATAATTTAAAATTTTTATTTATTTTAAGTAAATTTATTTTTCAAAAAAAATCTATTATCTAAAAAAATTTCGGGGATTCGGGTCCCCGCGAGGAACCCATCCCCGTCGAGGATCGGGGATGGACAAATTTTATCCCCGGTGGGGATCGGTGACGGGGATGGGGATTAATTTCAGAATCGGGAGCGGGGACGGGGAATATGATCCCCGCCCCGAACCCACCCCATTTTCATCCCTACTCTCCAGCTTCAGATTCAAGATCAAGTAATCAACAACTCTCCTCCAGTCAACAGATTGCAACCCTACCTCTATTATGAACTTACTAATCCATTTTTCCTTCTTTGAATGTTCCATCATCCTGCACTGTCCATTGGCTTTTGCTAAAATCACTAGCTCTTGCTCCATGTTTCCAAACATACTGGACCTCTAATACACCCCTTCTTCCCTCCCTAGACTCCCATTTGTTACTTTTACTCCATGGAGCAAAAATTCCTCAAGCACACTACTCACTTCCCTCCAACCTTGACTCTGATTTCCTGCTGGGAAACAAACTAGTTGTTTCTTTCCTCCACCAAAAAACTCAGCCAGAGCTATGTAGCAACCCTTTGCACTCTTTCTGCTTTCAACTATATATTTCTTGCCTTCATCAGCTGCAATCTCTTGCCTGTTGTTTTGCTTACCTTTCAATCTTGCCCCTTCCACAAGTTTGTTCCCCTTAAGTTAACCCTTGGTTAGAATCTTTCAAACAAAATGATATTCAGCATGGAAATCTCCTGATAGAGACCTTTGTTATATGCACTATGGATTACCACAACAGTAAAGATTTTGAATAGTTATGATATGAATACAAATGATATAAAGAAACTACTGCTACAGAAAAACAGTAACTTACTACAAGTCCATCTTTCTCCAGTCTCCACAAATGCTGAATCTTTGCCCACACAATGAGGATGATAAGCCTTGAGACAGTGCCTGGACATATAAAGCGTGTATGGTGCTTTAATAAATGGACAGAGGACTTTAACCATTTTTCATAAGATCTGATCAATCTAGCAGAAAGCAACAAAAGGTAATAGGAAACTTTTGCCACTCCCACCCCTAGAAAAAAAATTAAAAAAAAAAGTAGGACAACCAAAAATATAGTGCAAAATTTCTAAGTTACTAAAGAAAATCAGCACTACCCTCTCTGATACCAAAACTCAAAAGTAACTCCATATAATGCAGTAGTGTGGCTATTGCTGCTAATAGAATATAGAAAGATGCCACTCCTCAAATCCTAAATTCTCCCAAAGCCTGATCCATCTTTTTATGTTGAATATTCAAATAAATTTCATATAAATATATAAAAAAAAAGAGATTTATCAATGAAAAAGAAACAGGTAATACTCCAGTTGATATGAAGGTTCTCATACATGCATGATCAGTCAAAGCAGATATGGCATTTATCCCCTTACTCCCATTTGCAGGAGCATATGGAAGGAGCACATTAAGGAACTGTAAAACACAAGAAATGCCCAGAGGAAACAGTGATTGGGAAGATTAAAAGGCTCATCCTTTTTATCTTTCTTCTGATTTGAGGATATATCTTTCTCAAACTCTTGTACTGATAGGTTAAGCAATTATCTTCCAATGGAAATGCTTTATGGCTGTATATATTATACATGAATGATATGAAAAATACCACATAAGGCTTTTATATGCAATTGGTCACTTCTTAAATTTTTATATAATACAATACAAGTGCTTAAATTTGAAAAAAAAAATGCAAATATAAGTTGAATGATGATTCATAAATAGTTAGAAGTATTACAATATGAGAAATCCAAATAATCAAAAAACAAGTAAATTTATATATTGTAATATTTAAATTAATTAAAAATAATAGGCACATTAAGAAAATAACTTAATTTATTAAACTATCAACAATGTTTCCATGGTTCAAGGATATAACAAATTCTATAATCAAATAGCGGCAAACAATCTAAAGTACATGTTGGCAGCCAAAGATTATAAGTAACATTAGCATATAAATTGAAAAGCTTATAAACCCAAAAATGTAACTATTCTGTTATGGATAAATATAATATTCACAAAGTTTAAATAAGTTAGAAAAGATACCCAAATATGAAATATTATTATAATTTGTAAAAGGAAACGGATTAAACATTTATGAACCCTAATTATTGCAAATAGTAATTAGGTATTAAATTAAAATAGCATAATACATATAGTATTTAAATCCAATAAAAGTTGAATATATTTAAACTTTGTATATAATATAATGTATTTAAGCAAAATAATATTTAAAACAGCTTTTATGCATATTCGAAAATGAAATTATCATGTTATTACCATTTATTTATTTATCATTGCTCCAATGAACCACGCCGGTGAAAGTGTGAAACCCAATTGATGAACAAGTTGTGTGATACGAGTGAGAGAGAGAGAGAGAGAGAGAGCCAACAATTTTTTTTTGGCAATTCCAACATCAAGTTTGATAAGTAGAATGGGCAAGCAAAAATTACGACGAAAAGGAAAATGAAATATCAACACTAAAACGAGAGTAGAAAACATGAGAATAAATTTTAACACCCAGCATGCAGAACCCCAACTAAAGAAAAAACAATAAAATTGTTAATGCATCCAATATGATAAAATCGTAAGTCATTAGAAAGATCAAAATGCGATGCTTTAAGGCTCACTTATGATCACAGATAATAAGGAATCCCCCATCCTTGCAGATGAAGCAGAAATCCTCTGCAATATCTTCCTTCCTTCTCTTACACTTCTTCATCGTGTAGACTTTCTGCTCTACTAAACCATAAATCTCCACCAAAACCCCTTCAGGCTTTGATGAAGCTCAAAATCAACCGCAACTTACATAGATTAAAATAGACTATTTCTCCGCCTTATTTTGACAGAAACTCAATGCCAGACGGTGAGAGCTGAAGAAAGCATCAACAACTTGAGAACTATCCAAAACCCATCTTGAAAAACACAGAACTCGACCTTACACCACCACCAACTCTACTCTGCAAGAATGCCGTTAGGAAGAAGCTGAAAGCTTGAAAACACAGTGACTGCCTAATAAACCCACCTCGGGAACAACAAAAATTAAAGATAGCAATAGCTATTCCGATGATTTTCAGGCTCACGAATAAAGAAACTGAACTGGATTCTGGTCGTGAAGAACAGAGAAAAACCAATAATAGTGAGAATCTGAAGAGGAAACTTTTCTGGGTTTTGGTCCTTCGTGCGCATTGCAGGTAAAGGCACTGAAATATTTTGGAAATACATAGAAATGGTAAGATAGGACGCTCGGTTCCGTACCATAACTGAAACTTCCAATTACTGACCACGGAGCCGAGTGCCGAGTGTCGACCGGCTGTACAGAGTTAGGACCGTTTAGGCATATATATCAAAGAAGAGGACATTTTACGTAAATGGCCCTGCTCGGGAAAGTGCCGGACATCTGTGTTCAATGTCTCGTGATGTGAGCATTGCATGATCAACCAGCATTAACCGTTCGTTATAATCATAACCATCTGATGATTCGTTTGCATACCATACGGAAGGAAAGGGAATTGATAATGATTGGACGGTTCTGACTTCTGCATGGGCCGGGTCATGATTCCGAATTATTATCTTCAAGAAAACACGTTCCCAACCCTTTACCAATTTATCTAACAGCGCACATCTCGGCATTAGCCTGTATTCAGGAGGATTTTGCTGTACGGAATCAAAACATCTCACGAGTCCGGATCTCCTGCCCATACAAACTCTCTCCAGGTCTACTTACCTACCATCGTAGACATACATCAAAAATATCTCATCCTCCTACTCATATTTCATCCTCTACAAATTATTATGGAAATATTTTCAATTCGCGGGGTAGTGTGTTGTGAATAGACGTGTCAGGTGATCGGAAGTCATCTAAAACATCTACCCCATTAATTAAAAATTTACATATGCGGGATATTCAAAATGTGAGGCTGATACGCGCTGTAAGGTAGGTGTGAGCCTGTAAGGCACGTCCTATGAGGAGCAAAACTGAACTCTTAAAAAACGAGGAGCACGGATCACCTGAATGCAAAAACCGAATACACAGCATCCAATTGCACGTAAGGAGCATCTTAAGAGTTCACATCTCCGCCCCACAGTACATTCCCGCCGTGTATGAGGAACATCTGTTAATGAAAATATCAGTTCCGATGAAATCATCACTGGAAAATGTTCCCAATACACACCAGGGATGTGTTATAGTTCCTTATGGGGCGGAGATGTGATCTCGCATCTTCAGTATTTGTATATTAAATTTATTAGGAGATATTTGTGATGTGCAGATAGATATCTATACGATTTTTGCACGTTGATTGTCAAATATAAGCCAAGTGGCTATCATACATAGAGGTGCAAATTGGACAGATCGAGTCCGGTTTAAATTCAATCCAAATCGAATCTTAGGATTTGGACCTAAGGGCTAAATCTAAACTGAGCCTAAGGATAAGCCTAAGTTATTGATGCATTAAGATAGGCCCGAGCCAGACGGAATCCACACTGTCATAGCCCGAGGGTGCCCCTGTGGCAAATAAGCGTGCAAATCGGTTACCTATACTATCAGGTCCAAGTTTTTGAGCAAGTCTATACAAATTTTAACAATCTCCCAATCCAAATTCGCCTAAATTGCACACCTATTTAAGATCTTTCTGGCAAAAACTTGCATGGCAATTTGCCTTTCACCTAACCAGCATTTCCACACCATATTATTTCTTCCCTCTTGGGCAAAGCTCACAACTGTGATTAATGAACCCTTGGATTTTCTACCTAAGAGTTGTCGATCAACTTATTCCATGACACTCATATGTTTCAGCAGATAACCGTAACCGGTTCCAACCTCTACTACTTCTCTTCTCTATCAAGATCAGCTTCTATCAGGGCAAATCTGTGCCCACAACGTTCTAACAGCTTTTCACAACCTTGCATTAGGAAAATCTCCCCATTAAATAAAACACGCAAATACGAAAATATTTTCAATGCAAGGCAGTAAAAATTGCTCGAATGGGCTTTGCCTTGATTGATGCCCAACTCTCCTCTATCTTAGATCCATCTACCACCATAACAATAAAGTAACCATTCATCCAAATGACTGGACAGGAGATTTTCGCGCATAGTCATACGAGATTGGTTTTTTTCCCAACTGGTACTCACAATTCAAATTTTAAATTTCTTTTCATGTTAAGTAGGGTGTCAATGGACTGGTTTTGGATTGAACCCCGTCCAAACCAAAATTAATTTCAACAGATAGGACAGAGCAACAAGACATTGAATTGGATCAGTCCAGACTTAATGGCCCAAAGTATTTATTGTATCGAATTGTACCTGGTCCATCCGTAATGAATTTATATTGGATTGAGCCAATATCTAATCCATTGATAAAAATAAGAATATAGGTGTCAATGGATCAGGTTTGAATTAGAATTAATATAAATTAAAACAAATTTGAACAGATTAGACGATCTAGACATTGAATTGGGCTGGTCCAAAATATTTATTGGATTGGATTGAACCTGATCCATTTGTAATGGACTCATATTGGATTGGATCAGATTGGACCAAATGCAAAGGTTTTGGTGTTGACTTTCTTTAATTAAAATTGTAAGAATGTTTGGTGTCTTATGGCCCTTACCAGTTTGACTTGTTCATTAGACTCATCACTAATGATTCAACTAACTTCTCTTTGCTACAAATATTACAAACCAAAGCTGATGTTGACTTCGCAACCTATTTAGGGTTTTTATTGATCTCACTTCATCAATTTTTATTGGTTTATACAATTGGGAATAATGGTAAGTGAAGGAACCTATCAAAAGACAAGGGGGAGATGTGCCTAAGTGGAGGTTTTAATAAATAAAACAAGAAAATCAATAAAAATTTATGAGATGGGAAAAACCATAAATTGCCCTATTTATTATAAACAAAAGACGGTCCGGATCTAGTAGGCACAATAGTGTAAGCACATTCAATGAGCATTTGATAAATATTCTAACAACTGTCAGGAAGTTGTTTCTAATCTTTTTCAAGGGTAGGCTAAGGATATGTTAAGGGACATAGTGTCAAAAAAAAAATTAAGTACCAAGTCATGTTCTCACCATGTGTATTTACCCAATCCGAACTGGCAAAAGACCTATCCTGTGGTGCAGCATAGAATAAAAGAAAAGACCATGGTTATGGTTAAGTTGGTAAATTGCCTAGTTGGTTGTGGCAGAGATTTGGGATCAAATCCCGCTATCACTTGGGTTGGGAGGGCTATGGGTTTGGAGGACGGGCTACCCCATTAACAAAAAATCATAAAAATATCTAAGTTGCTATATCACAATGTTTGATTGGAATAGAAAATCCATGGGCAATGAACGATTTCAAAAGTATGCTACTAATTGTAGGAGAATGGTCTTTTGATTTTCTGTAATTTGTGTTTTAACCTTAAACACCAAAACAAATAGGAACATGGTTCATTTCTTCTTTTGAATATCATCTTTTAATAAAATATTTTTTATTCAAGTGTTTTTATATTCAAACAAATGAAGCTTTATGAAAATTTATGTAGCATTATGATTTTTAAGTAAAATATTAAAATATATTATTATTATTAGTAATATTCATACTTAAACTGAAATTTTCATTCAATATCCATAGTGGAGACCCATGTGATGCATGCGTTTTATTAAAAGAATTTTAGACAAAATGAGATAGAGATCCAATTTGGGTGGGCTGAACCAGTGTAATGGGCTATGTATCTAGAATGAACATACCTAACATTTTGTACACATGGGATGTCATCCACTGGCTTCAAGCCTTCACCTCTTTGAATGGATTGTCTGAAGTGTTTTAAAGCAGCTGAACCTGATTAGATAAATCTTCAGCTCAACCCTCACAAGCAGGCTTTTAAAGGATGATAAACATGGGCTTTTCAGGTTTTTCATTGTTTATATGCTGTTTGGGTGAGATACACCTCAAAAAGCCTACCGCCATATGAAGACTCTTTCCAATAAAGATCCCTAATGAAACACGTGGCACTAATTGACAATGTCCGACCAGCTTAAATATTACCATGGATGTAAGATAAGAGAGTATTTGTAATTAGACTGCGATTGTAGTGCAATTTTATTTTTATTAATACAAATCATGAGAGTGCAAATGAAAAAAATGTAAATTCTCTGGTTTAGTTTTGTTTTAGGTTTTAGTATATTAGTGTAAGAACATGTGTGATATATTTCTACACAAGTATTAATAAATTGCAGCCAAACAAAACAATGTCAAATTTAAAAAATAAAAAATAAATCCAAATTTGTATCTAAACCATTTGTACTTTTTGCATCAATGCAAATGTGCACTCAACAAAACCCATTATGGTATTTTTAAACAAAAATACAAAGAAGGAACAAAATGGGATAACATGTCATGCGCAAAAAGTTGTCTAACAGCTCTAAAGTTTTTCCGATTTTTTCTGATTAGAACAAATTCGTTGTCCGAGTTAAAAATATCAAATTATCAATTCAATCAAGGGACGAGCCCTTCTCAAACCCTTAAACCCCCGCCCTCCTTCCAAATCCTGGTGAAGGCGGGACCCAATCCCAGGTCTCCGCTACAATCAGCCAGTGACTTCACCAATTCCCTCATCTCCTCCAACAAGATGAGAGAGAGAAAGAGAGAGAAAGAAACAAGATGAGAGAGACAGAAAGAGAGAGAGAGGAACAGATGAAGTGTAATAGTGTTTCTGCGATTTTCATATCACATTCAAATCACGGAGAGTTTTAATCAAATGAGCAGCTCTCTTTAAAAAAAAAAAAAACGAAACAAAACAAATGAACAGCTCGGATTAGATAATAGTTGTGAGCTAGGGGGCAAAACAAAGGTTAGGATCATCTACCAAATCAATCAACAAACCTACTACGAATATCCATGAGAAATGAGAATTAGTTATACGGCTGGAATTGATTTTGTTTCACTGACCTGTAGCATCACGTCACCTCTTCTCGAGCTCCGGTGCTCGTTCTCCGCTCAAGCACCGGCGTCGTCTCTGTATTAACCGGTGAATGCCGGTTAGTCCCGAATTTGGCGGCGTCAATAGACTGATGTTTGGAGGGAGCATTCGAAAGGTAAAGTTACTGGGATTGGTATTAAAAAGGTCTGATAAACCTCGATCCTCTAAAAAGAAACGAAAGAGAGCCCTTTGAACTGACGGTTCTGATGGGCGGACTATTATATGATCCCACGGTTTAGTTTTAGGTGTGGTCCGTGTGGAATCAGTGCATCAAATATAGTGCAACTGCAAGGTCACTACGTCACGTACACTTGCAAAATAATGGTTGATTGGTAAAAGGAAAAGAT